AAACCATTCTATGATTCTATGATCTTCAAGGCTTGAAATGATGGAGGAGATGAGCTACTGACTAATGACTGATTCGTTATGCTGTTGTGGCTGGTGTTATATCTGAGTAGCTATGTCAGTGGATTTAGTGTGTTGGTTCTGTTTACTTCATGATCGCACTCACAGATTTTTCTCCTGGGCTTGCTATTTAGCTGTGAGAGAATCTCATAGCCAGGGGAATTTGTGTGTGTGTTTCTGGTAATGTGCATTACTCACTCATCCTCAATTCCTACCTGACATTCATTTCAAGGGGAGTAGTTTCCAAGCACAAGCGATGACCATTTTGAGCGCTTGACCCTTTTGGAAACAAAGCACCATTGTGTTTTAGTACATAGGAGGTACCATTTCAACGTGGGGTTTTTTTTCCCCTCTAAGTGGAAAGGTAAATGCTTATGCTAACTTTTTCTCTTTTCATTTGCCCCCTTAGAAGTCGTACTAAAAACATGATGTGGTACGGAGTATTGGGGACCAAGGAGCTGCTACACAGAACATATAAAAACCTGGAGCAGAAGGTCTTGCTGGAGGTGAGGAATTAGCATTCCCTTTTGTTGCTGTAACTGGGATGCCTTATTGCATTTCCTTCAGACTCTTTTGACTCTAGCTTGGTGATTCTACCTGGTGATGTGAGGGTGTTGCGCTTCCCTGCCTGATACAATGTAATTGTTTTATTCACCCTGAACTAGCTAAAAGTGGCTTTTCCTGGTTCTGGAAGATAACTTGTATTCTTAGCCTCTAAGGGGAGTGTCATCCTACTGGAAAGTATTAGCTGTCCCCAGCTCAGTATTAAACATACATAAGATTCTCATGTTACATGTGTGATTTGCATGTGAACACAACGTTTTAGCTAGTAGGTGCAGTGCAAAACTTTCATTTAACTATACTATAATGTGCATCAAACTGGAAAAGAAATATTCTTGTATGCGCAATGTACAGCATCAACAGGTAGCTTGCAGGAGACCCTCACTACAGCAGACTGTTTAAGTATTTCAGAAGTTTTATTCCCCTTTTTGGAGAAATAAACCAAGAGGTTTTGCCAAGCCTCTCCATTGTACCTTTTTCCTCTTTGGGGAAAAGAAGCAACAGTATCCCTCTAAAATTGCCCTTTGCCAGAGGAGATGTGGTTCATGAGACATGAATGGATATGTTCAACTCTGTTAGGTCAAGAATAAACTGGAAGAAACCTGAATTAATTTATTACTAAGCTGTTTTCTGTTCTTAGAGGATGTGCTCTGGCAGGAGGGGCTCCTTCCTGCTGTACTGAGAGTAGTGTTGCCTTCTTTTTTGTGTAGTGTGATGGGAGGCCAATCCCTTTGCCCAGTCTCCAGGGAATTGCTGTACTCAACATTCCCAGCTATGCAGGAGGCACCAACTTCTGGGGAGGAACCAAGGAAGATGATGTGAGTATTCTCTAAGGCAATCCAGGAAATATTTTTACTTACTGTCGCTCTGGAGTCATAGCCCCTGAGAGTAGAGCTTGGACAGAGAGGGCAAAGGACCTGTCTGCATGTGCTTTCTCTGTGAAGTGGATAGGATGCTGAAGCCCAGCATTCAGAAGCTTTGCACCCAAGTGGTCTGTAGTGATTCAGAAAAAATACAGATGCTGTCCTGACCATTTGGACTTCAAAGAAGTACTTTAGATTGACCTTCTGCCCTCAAACTGCCTGACAAGTAAAACCCCTTGAAGAGAAAGGGAGTTAGATCCAGGCAGAAATATTGCATTATTACCTGCTCTCATAAGAATAATTATTGCCTTGTATCCTGCAGCCATTGTCTCAGCTGCCATCAGAAGCACAGTGGGAATATTGAGGCTCCTTTTTCTCCCTTCTAGCTCACTGCAAATCTTCGCATTCTAGCTTCATTGTTAATTTTATACAGATTACACAATTGAAAGCTGAGCCCCAAATCTTCACCAATAGTGGGTAAAAGGAAATCTCTCCAACAGAGCTGTATGTCAACTGAATTCTCTCTCCCTTGTATCTGTCTAGACATTTACAGCCCCCTCCTTCGATGACAAGATTTTGGAGGTGGTAGCAGTGTTTGGTAGCATGCAGATGGCAGTGTCACGAGTGATAAACCTACAGCATCACCGGATCGCACAGGTATCAATTGCTTTTGTGAGCTTGTTTTGTCTCCTCTCTCTCCAGCTTGTGATGTTTTTGCCAATTTCAGTCCGTAAAGCCCTCCGTTCTGCTCTCTCTTATCCATGGAAAGAGCATCCACCAGGGTGAAAATGAGCATGTCTAGGGGCAATTTGGGTATGGAATTGTTTGCCAGCATTCATTGCGGTATGAGTTAGACCACCAATTCAAATACACATTAGTCAAAAGACACAGCAAATGGTCCCTGCTACACAAGGGCAAGGTGTGCCCTGCCACCCAGGCATGTGTACCTCTAGTAGCACCAAAGCTACAGCAGCTGGGGAAGTGCTCTGGCAAGAAAGAGAAGGTATCATGCTTTTGGAAAACCAACATTTTGAACTTCTCTGATGCAATCACTTCTTGCAGTGTCGGACAGTGAAGATAGCAATCCTGGGAGAAGAGGGAGTTCCTGTGCAAGTGGATGGAGAAGCTTGGATCCAGCCTCCAGGTTACATTTGGATTGTTCATAAGAACAGAGCACAGACCCTCACCCGAGACAGGGTAAGAGCAGCCTTGTATACACTTTGCATACGTGTTTCAATGTTACATACTCCTGGAGAGTATGGCAGCAGCCACACATGAAAGCTAATCTTTATGAATGTAAGAAGCATATTTCGCTACACACCAGAAAACTTTTTGGAAAGAACATGATTAAACTTGCATTCACCACTTGGGAAAGCGCATAAATAAGGTTAATCATGCAGGCTTATTTTGCTTCCTTTTCTAGGTGCCTTGTGACAGCATTTCCTAATACACTTGCATGCTGTTTTTCCCACAGGATGCCTGTCTCACTGAGTGCTGCGGATTGTCTAGATTCAGCTGTTCAATATTCTAACTTCTCATTGTTGTTCAATATGTGGCTTATACCTCGTTGACCAAGTAAAGCAGTGTCTTATGCCTTGTTCAGCAATGTGTGTCTGTCTCATCTCGTAATTTTCAAGTATATCTGATGAGTACCAGTACCTAAGGAAGTGTCCTTGCCATTTTACATATTACTGAATGGTGGTAAGGCAATGGAAAGGATTAAGGCCTTGCTGTGGCACAAACAGGCTTTATGGTTCCCCCCAACTCTGTAACTGTCCATGGATAAACAGTTGAGTTGATAGCAGCTCTTAATACTTTCCAGCATAACGCCCCTTTACCCAACTTCCAGAGCAAACCAAAGTCCTCTGCAAAGGAGGGAATAACAAGAATAGAGAGAACTGCTGAATGACGAGAAAAGAGAGAACAACGAAGAAGAAAAAGGGAAGGCAGCCTCATACAGGCCTGAGGCGCGTTCCCTGGCAGGATGTTACAAGTATGATGGTATGAAAAGAAAGTGGGCATGCAGAGCCCCTGTCATGGGTCTTGGGTATTGCCCTGTCTCCTGTCTTAGCTGAGAGAAAACAGTGGATATTGATACGACGTTGGGGAAAGGAGGAGGCAGGAATAGGGTATGCAGTCTTTCCTGGAGGGACAGTGAGCTTCTGCAGTGTCACACTGAGACTTTGAGGGGAAGTGACTGAAGGACATAGCACAGAGAGCAAGGGGGAACAAGACTCCTGCTGTAAAAGTGGGAGAGAGAAAAGGAGAGGCAACCTAAATGTGAGTATAGTGGGAAAGGCAGAGTAAAGCACGAGAGGCGGAGAGGACATACAAGTCCCTAGTGAGTGTGCTGTGTGTGTTGGGCCATCTGAAGCCATGGCTGTGATTGTGCCATCCCACTCATTGCCTGCAAACCCAGTTTTGCAGGCATGGAATTACCACTGAGGAAGAGGTTCCATTTTTGCAGAGTAACATTCAGCTTTTGTCTTCACTGTGGGCTTATTGTTATTTTTTCTGCTGTCCTTTTGATCATTGTTACACACCCCTTCACAGAGCAAATATGGCCTATACAGTAGATGAAGTGGGATCCTCTCGTCACATGTGTGACCCTGTACCTTTGGGAGCATTTTTCAAATGTGATTTGGGATATTTAGTTTCCTAAACTGAAGATGGAAAATTTCAAATTCCCTTGTGTGGCATCATCTGGACTACTGAAGAGTCATCAGCAAGGTTGAGATCAGCAGATAGCTTGTGCTGAGCTGAGAGCTTGATTTTGTCCTGTATGAGGAGCAGTAGGGGAATGGAATGCTTTACCACAGGGCTTCACAGGTATTCACAGATGCAGGAGAATGGCATGTCCCCAGAACCTTGGCTTGTCCCCAAAGGCAGTTGTGTTCTAGTGGACACTGACTTTTGCGCTCCATTCATCTCCTTTCTCTACACTTAGTCCCATGCTCCTTACCTAGTCTGTACTCCTCTCATTTGACTGTCCACGCCCAGGATCCACTACTACCATTGTCATCCCCTTTCTTATCCACCCATCACAGTTAATCTCCTTTCCTTTTCTGGATCCCCAAATTCTGATTTTTTTAAAACTTTTTTTTTCATGAAAGCTTCACACCCCTGCTTGCTATCATCTTCTCAGAATCATTCTTCCTATTTCGGTCTTCCCTTCCCATAGTCCCTTCTCTTGTCTCACTTTCTCTCTTGCCATTTCTTGCGCTCGTTGATCTGTCTCTCCTTGCCCTGAGGCTTTGTATGCCAGTTTTCATTCTCACCAAGTCCAATTTTGATCCTTCTGCATTGTATCTATTTTACTTCTTCCCATACCACTATCTGATGCCAGCAGGAGTATCAGTATGAGTGCAAGTGGGAGAGGTCCTAGCTCTTGAGTTCAGTTACTTGTCCCACCAGTTACTGGGGAGGCCCAGTTTACTTCTAGATAAGGAGGAGCCATGAACATTTTTAGTTGCTACCTCTGAGATGTCACTTGAAGAGATGTACAGTAATAGTCAAGTGTAGAGGCAATATAGCTACTCAAAGAAAAGGCTGCCACCAGTAGGGAACTGGTGGATTTTGCTAGTCTGGCCCTCAGAATTGGCCTAGAAGTTTCAACTAAAAACTAGGCTTAAGCAAAATTTAGGCCAAGGCAAGCATGTGGCATGGAAAATTTCAGCCCAGACAGTTCGTTTAGCTAAGTTACAAGCAGCTGAACAAGTGGGTCCTGCAGTAAAAAGTGTCTATACCAGATGTACATGTTTTACAGGCATAGGCACAGCCATTGTTTTTTATAGGAGCTTTACAAGATATCTTATAGTTTGCTTGCTGTGTTTTTAGGCATTTGAGAGCACCTTGAAGTCCTGGGAGGACAAACAGAAGTGTGAGTTGTCCCGACCCTCCTCTTTCTCTCTGCAACCAGAGATCATGTCTGAAGAAGAATCCACCCAAATCAACCAGTTTGGTCAAGCTGCAGGTGCTCTGATCCACAGGTGGGACTCAATTTGCTTTTGGTGAATAGAGCCCTCCTCTGGTCCCTGAAGTTCTTATCCTACTCCCTGTTCCTGGAGATGTTTCTGTTCACTCTTATCTTCTGCAGTGCTGGTCCATGTCACTGGGGGTAGCATTGTTCATTATGCACTATCCCAGCTGCACGAGGACTGAAGTGGAATAAACTTTCTTAGGTCATTCTGAACAAAAAACGTTACTTTCGTGAGCAAACGTGGATCCTTTAATTGTGAAAGAACCCATTATCTCTGAGTATCAATGATTTTTATCAGAAATGAAACAAAGGACTCTCTAGGAACTCAGATGACAAGTTGTTTTCTTATAACCCTGATGCCCAGCAGAGATTTCTGGAAGAAGTCACTGTATGCTCACCTGCTCATCCTTTACTCAGATACTCAGCTCCTTGGTTTGGGCCTCAGAGAAAATCGGAGAAGTATTAATTAAAGTGCCATATGTGCAGCTGCCTTTCACATCACTATGGCCTAGATACTAAAATATCTAGGTCATATTTCAAACTGCAGAATTGAAAATGCACCTGGAGTTGTGCATGTGAAATCTGCCTTGCTTTGCCTATGCATGCTCACTATAGCAGGGAGAATTGCCCTACTTTGCCAGAGGCTGTACCCCTCCCTTGCTTTATCCCTGCTCTTGTCACTCAGATGGGTTTTAAAAGGAGATACCCAGTCAGAAAATAACTGCTTTGAGCATATTCTGATGCAATCTGTAATTCTCTCTTTAGCATTCGGGAGATAGCCCAATCCTATCAGGACATGGAACAGGAGCTTGCCCATGCTGTCAATGCCAGCTCCAAGTCTATGGACAAAGTCTACGCTAAATCCAAGTCTACAGAGGTACTTCACACTTGGCATCTCCCATTTTGTCCTTGTTCCATAGCTCTTGGTTTTCCTTTCTGATTGACCAAAAGTAGGCCTTGCTTGTCTAAGACTTCTTCCTTTTGACTGCTCAGACCTCTGCATTTCCAGGCTTAATTTGCGCATGAATTGCTTCCCTGCAGGGTCTGAACTGCAGCCTTGTTGTAGAGATGGTGAATAATGTCAAAGCCCTGCATAATGAGACAGAGCTGCTGCTGGCGGGCAAGATGGCACTGGTAAGAAGCACAAAGCAGGAGTAAAGCAGCCTCTCACTTTCTCTCCTCTCCTCCTGTTGCCTTGGCCAGCAACATTTTGCTGGTTTTGGTCTTCTTTGTCTTTGCAACAAGTCAGTTTAAATGTTATCATCCAGGAATTAGGATGGTGTTGCTATGTAGGCATGATGAGCAGTCAAGCTAGCTTGTGCGGAGTCCGGAGATCAGAAAAGATGAAAATCATTTACTTGGTAACTTCTGGGCAGAGTGCCTGCTGTGCACTTCCTTTTAAAAGCAGGAACTGCTTTGTTAGCTAGGAATTTCAAGGCAAGGGCCTGTCTGTGTGTTCCACCATATGGCTTTTCACTCTGCCTTGCTTCCATTTCTGATCCAGCAATTAGATCCTCCACAGAAGGAACAGCTTCAAGCAGCCCTGGCAGACATGGATCTCCAGCTGAGGAAACTGGCAGACATCCCTTGGCTGTGGCAGCTTATGGAGCCCTGTGATGAGGAGGTGAGGAGGACCAAGGCTATGTTTTCCAAGCTGTTCTCTTTTTCACTAGTTGGCTGTGAGTGTTTGACTTCCTGTGAATACATGACTGATATGTGAAAAAATAATTAAGAAGGAAACTTGACTCACTAGGGCTAAAGAAAGGAGTTTCCTGCTAAGGTCCCTTGCCTGATATGGGATCAACTTTCTCTGTTTCCTTTCCTTTCTTGATCAGAATGACTTTAGAAATTTTTTTTCCCCACTCTTAGAAGGTCATGGAGCTGAGCTTCACAGTACTTGTTGCTCTTGGTCTGTTCCAATCAGTTTGTGACTGTTTGCCTGATTTTCTGGTTTTGTTCTTACAGAACCAGATGCTGGATTATTCTAAACGCAGTCGCAGTGGCAAATTCCGACTGGTGACCAAGTTTAAAAAGGAAAAGAACAACAAAAATAAGGAGACTCATAGTAGCATGGGATTGCCGGGTACCGAGTCTGCTCATTCATTGTGTCTCTGTCACATCAGTGTGGTTGCACCACTGTTCTCTGTCTGTCTGTCTGTTTCCTCTCACATTCTCTCGCTCTTCTGTTTCACATGCATCTGCCTTTTCTTGGAGGTCTAGCCTTGTCTTTTTCATGTTGCAAAGTAGCTTATTGCTCCATTCGGTCTAAGTCATGATCCCCCAGTACCACGCAAATATTCCTGAACAGAAACAGGAAGTGACCTCCGAAGAATTCTGCCTACATCCAGACATTTTCAAGGATATTTTTGGGAGTGCTCAGTGAAGTGAATATGAGGATTTTGACATTTTAGGTATTGGAATGACTGTGAGGCCCAAGTCCGCATAACTCCAGTCTTTTCACTGCTAATTCTCTGTGACACAGTTAATTATGTTTTTCTCATTGATTCATCCTCAAGCTTTAATCAAGTTTCATGTCTAATTGGCTGGGGATCAGCATCACCACAGGTGCACCCTGACCTTTAATCCTACCGGTCAGTAGATAAAAACTGGCCATGAGTCAACAAATTACCATTCAAGACACTTTCTCTCCAATTGGATTAGTTGATTTTTGGTTTATATTCTCCTTATGAAGACTTTTTTCTTCTAAAATTCAGAAGTACTACCTGTTCTGTGGGCTCCTGGGTCCTGTCCTCTGCCATGGAATTGTGGGTATAGTCTCCTTCTGTCTGATAGGCTGGTGTTCATTCATTGCCTCCTACAACCTGGGAACTTTATTATTCTCTTATTTAGAGGCTGTGCGAGAGGGTGGAAGTCTAAACTCCTCCTCTCTTCCTCAGACTTAGGGGAGAGAGATTGCTATTTTGTTTACTGAGCACAAGTTCTTGTGCATAATAGCAAACTAATCTGTGCTTGATTCTTCATGATATAATTTATGACTGTTGTTTTGTAAGCAGAGGAATATAATGGAATTTACTTTTCTAATCATAGGGGTAAATTTTAAAAAGCATCTCAAATCCCGTCAAAACAACCCTGCACTTCCTCCTGGCCTTATTGCAGCTAGCCTCTGCTTAAGAGAACACCTCTTCACTTTCTCTGCCCTACCTCCTTTGTTTGAGACTGTAGATCATGCTACCAGTCCTTGCCCTCCCCTTGATTTGAGGCTGTGGTATGCTTGCCCTGCTTCTCTGGCACTGAGTGCTGATGGTGTCCTCATCTCTCACTGTCTTGGGATTCTGGGTACTCAATGCACTCCTGCTTTTCCATCTCTAACAGTTCACCTCTGGGGAACGGAGGAGGTTGCGGCCTGGCTTGAGCATCTCAGTCTTTGTGAGTATAAGGATATCTTCATCCGGCATGACGTCCGGGGCTCTGAGCTCCTGCACCTCGAACGGAGGGACCTCAAGGTACTTTCATGATCAGCTCATGAGAAATAGCCAGCTGCATCTGCATGACCTTCTGTGCTGAATGTGCTTGGAAATGATCTGCCCACTGTTCATTCCACATGCCTTGGCAAGATGAACGGGTTCATTGAGGCCTTGTTTTATTTTCTCACCATTTCAGGTCACCTGATATTTTAATAGCAGGGCGATAGAACACCTAGTTCAGAGACCAACTGTCCGATTCTGCCACAGCTTCCTGGAGATGTAATACAGTCCAGCACACAGATTGCAGATAATGTTCTTGAGAGTCTGTGATTTTAATGATGGAATGGAAGTTTTCAGCTTCTCAGTTCCTGTACCATCTTTGCAGAACATGCTGTGATTGGGAAAATTTGCATCTTATGTTGTAGTCAGTCAGTCATACATCATCACACTTCTTTGTTACAAGAAAAAAATTATCATCATCTTTGTTGAGGCTACTAGATAGAAAGAATGGAACTTAGTAACCACATGGTACAGCTTTTCATCTCACCGGGAGATGCTTTCAATACAGACAAAAATTGAAAGTGGTGATTCTTTACATGTGCAAAAGATTTATGTCATCATTCTGGTGACTTGCATATAACAGAAAAATACTTTGTTGTAAAGTAGTGCATTGCATTTGTTGAATGCCCCTTGGATCTTCATTTGTGATTTTGACCATCTTCCTGGTGTGAGGTTTGCTGTAATCTGTGTAGCTGATTCCTCTGCATGCCATCCAGCTACAGCCTGTGTTTTGTTGCTTGGTACCCAAGTGTTCACACATTTATCTGATGTGACCAGTGACTAGTTGGTTCTCCCTGCATGTTTTGGCTACTAGCTTAGGTCCTTGAGATCTGTACGCTCTTTCCGTTCTCACACTTTGGCTTTTAACAGTCAAATCAATTTGCATTTCTGGCTAATGGTCTGCAGTTGTCTCTCTCCATTGCTCTGTGCCTGCTCATTACCTTGTTCATGCTCCGATAGCTTTTTGACACATGGTTTGAGGTTCCATATATAACCATCAGGTTTGTAATCTTTCTGGTAGTTTTCCTCCTCTCTTTCTAACTGGCTGACTAGTTTGTAACCATTGCTTGGCCACCTGGAATTTCCTCCCTGCCTTTCTCCTAAGGTAAGGTTTTCTCCTTTCTTCCAGGACCTGGGTGTGACCAAAGTGGGTCATATGAAGAGAATACTGCACGGGATCAAGGAGCTGAGCCGGAGTACTCCTGCCAGCGAGGTTTAGCCTCTGTTTTCACAGCCTGTGTCTACCATTCCCCCTAACTACACAGCAGTCACCTCACTGAGCAGATGTGCTCACAACTGTCGCTACTGAACAGCCAAACTGTAGCTGTTCAGAGCTCATATCAACCAAGCATGGTGCTACCTTTTTCCTGTGGGGTACGGCTGCATCCAGTCGAGAGGCATCTTATTTGCGGTCAGGCAGAGCCTCCTGGAAGAGAACTCACTTGCTATTTGAAGAACCATGTCCTCCAGTGTGGGAAGTTCTGGTTCCAGTGACAGTGCAGGACTCCTGAGAATTGCAACACAGCTACCTTTACTGGATAACTTCATCACAGTAGAATTATTCAGGGCAAAAGATATATTGGCCAGTCATAGTTCAGGAGCATCTGACAGTCTTTTCAGACCCAAAACTTTCCTGCTTATCAGTGTGTCACACCTATAGCATTTAAGTGGGACAAAGCTTGTCCTTGTGTTTTACTAATCCCTTTTTAATGTATCTGTAGTTGCATGCGTTTTGTGTCAGAAATTCAAAGCCAGTACAGACCTCTTGCTGATGAATACCCAATGATTCTCACTCACTTATGCCTTGCAACAAACAATGCATGGGGTTCAAACAGCAGTTTGCACCAGTTTGCAGGGTCTTCCTCTGGGGCTGGCTCTCTTCTTCCAGCCAGTGGCAATGGTACAACCTTTAGGTTTTCGGGCATCACAAAATTTTTCAGAAATTCCTGGCAGTAAGAAAAGACAAAATTCTGGAGAGCCAAAGGATTACAGGAGATCAACTCTGACATTCTTCCTTCTGAATTCATCCTCAGGCGACTCGATGAACAGGAGAGGAATGCTAACTAGCTGTTTGGGCTGTGTGAGAAATGTAATGTAATGGAGTGAGATATGGAACAATTTGCTCCATCTTGGTGTGGGGAGCAGCATGACTGACAGCAGCCAGGAGCAGCTTTCTCCCCATTTAGTGCCACCTTTGTGGCCAAAGAAAACAAAGCTGTTTCTTTACTTCAACTTGCTGCGCAGAAAACTATATTTCAGTCACAAAAGATACGGTTTATCTGTAGTACTTGCATCTTTTTACCTGTCTTGGTTTTAGTGGCTTTTCCATCTTGCATCTCTCTCTTGCTGCCTTGCTCCTTCACTCCAAGGAGGATACCAAAAGATTAGGGTGGCTCAGTCCTCCTGGGTTCTACCCCTGAGAGACATATGTGCTGTCAAACACCAGGGATCCTGTAAGAGCACTGAGAGAAGGAGGATTGTTACTGAGCGGATAAGCATTGTAATGAAAACTGGAGTACGTTGGTAAATTGCCTTTGATACCACCAGCAGTGGAGCATTGAAAAATTAGTGCCTCTGAATCACAGTTCTTAGACAACCTTCAAATTTCCGCTGTATTGCCCAACCCCAATCGAGTCTCTGTTAAAGCCCCAAGACCAGCATGCATAGTTATATTGCCATGTTTGTCACTGCAAAGGGAGTTTGGGAACATTCAGTGCTGTAAAGCTGATGAGACAGCAGGA